CACCCTCGTGTTTGACTTTGTGTCCAAAAGCAGCTCCACCCACCAGCCTGGACTTGACCTTACAGACCTTACGGAGAACTACAGCTGGCATAGTGCCGACGTGCAGAAGCCTGCTGGATGGCAAAGCTTTACACAGTTCGCTTTATCTTTCCATCCTAATCACTTCATAGACACAACAGGCCCGCCATCCATGCTGCTCATTTAGAGCCCCAGGGAAGCAGTCTCAGGGACAGATGCCATCAGAGTAGAAGATTTTGAACCCTTCATTTTTCAGGACAACGCCCAGCCTGTTTAAGAGCTTTTTTTGTTTGTTTTTTGAGACAGGGTTTCTCTGTATTCTCCTGGCTGTCCTGGAACTCAACTGTAGACCAGGCTGGCCTCAAATTCAGATATCCACCAGCCTCGGCCTCTCGAGTGCTGAGATTAAAAGTGTGAGCCACCACTCCCAGCCTAAAAGAGCTCTTCTTAAAAGATAATGATTTTATGTGTATGAATGTTTGAGTGTTTCACCTGTGTGTATGAATATGCACTACTGTGTGTGCCCAGTGCCTGGAGAGCATCAGACTCCCAGAACTGGACATAGTTATACACCACCATGCAGTGCTGGAAAACGAACCAGGGTTCTCTGAAGCCTTCATTAAGAATCTTTTAAGCGGCCGGTTGGTGGCGCATGCCTTTAATCCCAGCACTCGGGAGGCAGAGGCAGGCGGATCTCTGTGAGTTCGAAACCAACCTGGACTACCAAGCGAGTTCCAGGACAGCCTCCAAAGCCACAGAGAAACCCTGTCTCGAAAAAAAACCAAAAAAAAAAAAAAAAAAAAAGAATCTTTTAAGCAACATTGCCTTGGTGGCACACACCTTTAATCTCACCCCTCAGGAGGGAGAGGCAGGCTGACCTCAGAATTTGAGACCAGCCTGGTCTACAAAGTGAGTTGCAGGACAGCCAGGGCTACACAGAGAAACCCTGTCTTTTGTAAACTGCGCTTCTGTCTGTCTGTCAATGGGTTCATGAGTGCACAGGCAGGAGAATGGACACATGGGCTGAGAGTAGCTGCTCCCTTTGTGGTTTGAAAGCATTAAACCCTCTGCAATATGCCACTTCCACAGATCTTCATTCACAAGCTCCCGCCATACCTGGGTCTGAAAAGGCCCAAACCCGAGAGAGACCAACTGCCTGAACCACATCACTCTATTGCTCCAAGGAGTGGCTGGGGACGAGGAACTGATGAGTATTTCATCCGGAAGCCTCCAAGTGATTTTCTTTTCCCTAAACTTAATAGGTAAGACCGACACTCATCAGGCACTTGGGCAAGGGAGAACTACAGCTCCCAGAAGACCGTGGAAAAGTTCCAGCAGATAGTGTGGTCTACTAGCATCATGGGAATTGTAGTAGCCCTGCTGCTGCTTGCTTTTCGAGAAGGTGGCATTTTAAAGCTTAATGAACCAGAAATTTGCATAAGTCTGGAGACCTCGGTGCTGGCGGGGAGATCAGGAAGAGCTTTCTCAGGTTTTAAGAACCACCAGGCTGTTGCAGGAGGCAGCTGAAGCAGGGTCTAGGCCACCGGAACTGCTTGTTCTCTTTGAACCCAGTGTGTAGCTAAACGGTCCCTCCTTTTACAGGTTTCAGCCTGAATTATCTGCCCCGGACCTGCGACGATTTATCGATGGCCCAATACGGACAGTGGGTCTGCCTCAGGAGCTACGCGAGGTCATTTCTTCAATCAGCTACATGGCCCGACAGTTGCAAGAACAGGAAGACCACGACGCAGTAAGTCTAATGAGGTTGGAGCCCGCAGGCCCCACCCCCAAGCTCAAGATCCGCCCTTAGTGGCTGCTTCCATTTGTGATTGGAAGTGTGCTTGGTTTTGTCCTCCCCCTGCCTTTCAACTGGCTCTTTACTTTCTTACCTAGCTGGCGGCCTGGTTCTCGGGCTAGTTGCCTTTTTCTCAGATTCCAAGTACCTACTATACCTTGGCAGGAATCTGTAAGGGGTGGGCTTTCCAGGGCTTCAGCCCTGGAACGTCTTTTTTTTCCTGTCTTCCCTTAGCTGAAGGAGGACTGGCAGTTTGTGGCCATGGTTGTGGATCGTCTTTTCCTGTGGACATTCATCATTTTCACAAGTGTTGGGACCCTGGTCATTTTCTTAGATGCCACGTACCATTTGCCTCCTTCTGAGCCTTTTCCTTGAGGACTGGAGGTCCATTTTTGCCAAGAGTTGCCAGCGCCCTCAAGCTATAGCCGCTTGCTCCGTAACTCCTGTACCAATCTAGTTTCTGGAAGACCTTGAAGTGGGACTTGGGCCTGGCAGGTGCCTTGACCCCACCTGAAATGTCTTCATTATTTAGAGTTTCGTCCTTTGGGTTTTTGTTTTGGTTGTTTTTGAGAGAGTCTCATTCTGTGGTCCAGGCTAGCCGAAACTATGTATCCCAGGCTGGCCTCAAACTCCCAGCAATGTTACTTGGTTGTCTACCAAATGCAGGAATTACAGGCCTGGTGAGCCAGTACACTTGGATTTGGATTCTTGAAGCTACATTGAATGTCACAGCTTGACTCTCTAATGAAATATAAGTAGTAGACTGTAAACCCTTTGAGGATAGGAAATGTTGGTTATTATAATGTCCCCACCAATGTACACAGGACCTAACCCATAAGCGATTAGTATTTGTTTAAGAGAGGGCAATAAATTCTGGAAGGAAATATCTAGAATAATATTGCCTACAACTGAATGTTGTGATTAATCATTTTTGTCTATTTTTAATTTTCTATAATTTATTTTTTGTTTAGACTAAAAAGGTATTTCTATAAGGTCTACATTTGCAATGAGGAAACATTAAAAACAAAACAAAAAAATTGTTCAAGATCTAGGAGTCGCCGGGTGGTGGTGGCCACTTTAATCCCAGCACTTGGGAGGCAGAAGCAGGAAGATCTCTGTGAGTTAGAGGCTAGCCTGATCTACAGAGCAAGTTCCAGGACAGCCAAAGCCAAACAGGGAAACCTGTTTTGAAAAACAAAACAAAAGATTCAAAAGTGATGAATGACTGTAATCCCAGAATTTGGAAGATAGAGGCAGGGAGATTACTACAAATCTGCTACACATTGAATGCAAGCCCAGTCTAGATTAAGAGAGAGAGAGAGAGAGATCTCACTCAAACCAGACATAGTGACTCATACTTAGTATGCCAGCATTGGAAGGCTGAGGCAAGATTTCTGTGGGTTTCAGTTAGGTTAAGGCTATAGATAGAGACCCTGTCTCACACAACCTTATTCAAGTTCTAATTTTGACACACAAACCACTAAACTACTCAGAATCTGTTTCTGTATGTGTAAAATGAAGCAGTTAATAGAATAGTATGTGCCCATAGAATATTCCTATATATCAGAGCTTTGAAACTGGTGGGGTTTCGTTTTGTGTGTGTGTGTGTGTGTGTGTGTGTGTGTGTGTTTCCTATATTCTTGGGCTGTACACCATCTATTGGTTTTGGAGTAGTTGGAATTGAACCCAGGGCCTTGCGAACAGCAAGTGCTTTACCCTTGAACTACTTACCAACCCTTATTTTTCCTTCATTTTTGATTTCATGGTTTTGTTATTGTTGCTTGAGACAACTCTGAACTCCTGATGCTTCTGCCTCTTTCAAGAACTGGAATTATGGGCATATGTCACCATGCCTGTTTTTCGTTTTTTGTTTTAGAAACAGGGTTTTCGTAAGTTGCAGAGTCTGGCCCTCAAACTCCCCATCTTCTTGCCTTAGGAGTAACGGGGCTGTAGATGCGCATCACCATGCCCTACTGCCCACGTTTTGTTTTGTTTTGGTTATTTTTGAGACAGGGCCTGGATATGTAGCCCTGGCTAGCCTGGAACTTGTCATATGGACCAGGTTGGCCTCAAACTCACAGAGATCCACTTGCTTCTGCTTCCTGAGTTCTGGAATTAAGGTGTGTAATCTTAAGTTTGAATTAAGGGCTGGAGAGAGAGGATTTTGAGGTTAAGAGGACCGGGGTTTGATTCCCAGCATCCACATATGGAACTCCACTCTCAGGAGACCCAGCACCTTCTTTCTGGCCTCCTCTGGCACCATACACACGTGGTGCACCCACATGCAAACAAACACACACATAAAATTAAAGGAAAAAAATATTTGAAGCTTGGTGCCTTTAAAATTTGTGTATTTCACAGACATTTGGATTTCAGGCTTCTTTTGAAAATGTTTATAAAACTACAATGACAGACAGTAGGCCCACTACTGCTGTTGACGGCAACCCGCTAGGGCTTCTCAGTGGCTGCCCACTGTGGCCAGGGAACTCACACCAGAATTCCTCACAGCTTCCATCTACCTGCCTCGCCTTACTCATGTTCCAGCTACCCCTGCATGACACGAGAGGATACACAACAGGCAAGACGAAGCCAGTGAGGACACAGGAGTGGAAGAGGTCTAATGGCCATGTTACAGCTGCTGCCCAGTGTTCCTTCAAAGTAGAAAGAGTTGGATCTGATTTAAGGCAAAGGTTATTCTGGGACACAGAAGTCTTGAACCTAGCACTGTACTCATTGAGGATGTTTCTAAAGAGGGGACACAGCAGTTTTGAGAAAGGGTCCTTGTGAAGCCCAGGAACTCTATGTGTAGCTGAGAATGACCCTGAACTTCTGGTCCTCTTTCCTTCACCTCTCAAGTGCTTGTATTCGAGGTACGTGCTACCATGTTGGACTGAGAAACAAACCCAGGGTTTCCAGCATGCTAGGCAAGTACTCAACTGAGCTACATCCCAGCTCCTGAGTTAATGTCTCTACCTGGAGGTCAGGTCAAAGTGAGCTGGACGCTAATGGCTAAATGATTATAGTGAAGCACCTGGAGGTGACAAGACTCACACCAACTCAGTTGTTAGACATTGGTCCTGGGAGCGGGACTAGACTACAGGTCTCAGGATCCCTGTGGAACAAGGAAAGCAAATGCCTGCCCCCAGACCCACCAGTCACACAAATAACTGCACCTGGTATCCCATCGTAAGCATAGTTCATTGTCTTGTTGGTTTATTGGCCTAGAGAATTGGAAACACACACAAATCTGGAGATAAATAATGGTCAGTTTCTCTAAATCTGGGTCCTCACTACGTATAGAGCTAGAGTCTAGAATTCTAAATCTTGCGTGCTGTGGCATAGAACCAGTGGCCTTCCCACTCTATCACCCTTCTTCCCAGGGAACATGGGGAAAGAGGGTACAAACTGACAAGACTTGATCATCTTCAAGTGACAAAATTGCAAAATCCCAAATTTCCAATACCTGAAACTCACAACATTGAACCCTTCCAGCTCAAATACATATTTTTAAGTTTTTGCTTTGCTATATTAAAAAAAATAAACACTTATAATCTCAATTCTTCCAAAAGGTCCATGGTGTTAGAATTTTGATCTATTCTGAGATTCAAATTCCACAGTCCATTTTCGCCCCTTCTCCTCTCCTGACTCCCTCAGAGGAGTGCAGGTAAAGGGTACAGGGGCTGTGGTCACCTCTGCCCCCACCTTCAGGCCTTCCTCAGTCTCTTGTGGTTCCGCTGTATATATAGATATATTTATATATATAATTTGTGTGTGTGTGTGTATATATATATATATGTATTCTTTATTATGTATTTTTTGCGGTTTTTTTCTAAAGTGCCAGAAATAAGATTTATGGGAATTTTTAGTGATTTTTTTTTTCATTTTTCCTTGTTTGAAACTTTTCCCCTTAAAAGCTGGAACTTGGTACATTCAGTAGGAGATTCTTCACTCAGGCTGTGGCCAAGACCAAGAAAAGTGCAAAGAGACAGAGGAGGGGTGAAGCGACCCCTCCCTCCGCGGTTAACATTCAGGAAGCCGCCAAACCCTCCCCCTTCCTATGGACTGGGAGGCTAGGAGGGGCAGGAAGACGCCCCTGGCCTTTCCAGACTCACCTCCCTCCCAAAGCCGTGATCTTGCCCTCTTCACAGTAGGTCAGAGGGCAGCCATCTTGGCCTCAGAAAACAGTAGCTGAGAGAAAGGCTGTCACTTTGATTAAAACAGTCTTTCTCCTTTTTAAAGTCATACTCCTCTAATTCCCACATCAAATTTGCTCCCCGAAACTGGCTCTCCCCTTGTGAGCTGGTTTGGGGGGGTAGGTAATATGGGAAATATCCATCTAATCACACATTAGGGAGGCCCCATTTTCAACAATAGGAACAAACATTTCCTAATCTTCCCCGCTGGAAGGAAACATAGGGACCCCGACCAGGGTTAACTAGTGCAAATTAGGGATTAGGGATTATTTAAAATCCCTGCACCCCATCCCTAGGCTGGGATCTTTGGGTGTGGGGAACTGAGTCAAGGATAGGGTATAAGGTGCTATTTTGGAGGCAAGGTTGGTGGGGATACCCCGAAGCCCACCGGAAGAGGAAGATGGCTCCCTTGAAACCATCTGGAGTGATTGGTGAGGACAGTGACACTAGAGGAGACAGGGTAAAGGTAGGGGTGGAAGATAATGTGCAAATCTTGGGCTAACCCACACGCCAAACCCCCAGCAATCTTCTGGCTATTTGGTCTAATCTAGAAGAAACCGTAGAAGGATGGCAGGGAGGAAGTGGGTTCCCTTCTCCATCCTGTATGGAGTGCTTCATACCTGATGCTCAAATTTGGTTTAGCCCCAAAGAAGCCACCCATAAAGGCCAGAAGAGATAGGATCTATTCACCTCTTTTGTCCTGGAAGAATCTGGAGTCACTGGATTTTGGGGGTAAAAGTGGGGCCCAAGATTTCCCTGCCCTGTATTGAAAAAGTGCTCAGCCATAGAACACCTCCCACCTCCTTTTGACTTGGATTGGGTTAGGCCGTCTCCAAAGTCTAGGAGCACAGGAAGGAATATGGAAGATCCAAAGGCATGGAAGCCGAGGCAGCATGGCATCGTAATAGGAGACAAGGACAGAGAAACCACCCTTGGGAAGAACGGAATCCAAAGCCATGCTTCCAGGCTGGTGGGTCAGATATCACACTGGTCTGGTCCAGGCCCTGGGCCATAAAGAATGGAATGTGCGAGGAAGCATCTGGGGCGGGGCTTAGAGGAAGCTTCAGAACAGCAGGCATCATTAGGTGAGAGAGACGGTTTCCCCCTAGGTTTACAAATCAGGGGAGCAGGGTAGACATTCAGAGCTGGTGGGGCTGTAAGTAGAGATTCAGTAAGTATATTGCTCAGTTGCCCAAGGGCTGGAGAAGGGATGGGATCTGGCTCTTCCCCTCACAGGGGTCATTCCCTGCAAAGATAGAGAGAGGAACCACCAAAAACCCCTTCTCAGGGGGTGGGGGACTACAATCACACAAAGCAGCCTGACTCCTGAGCTCCAGGGCCCCCCAATCCCTGCACTAGAGTGTGATGGGGCTCCCAAGGGGCAGGGAGGCCAGGGAGCTGATAGTGATGGGGGCTCAGGAAGGGTGGCATCTGGTGAAAGGGGGATCTGGCCTTAGTGCTCACCCCACATCTCCCTTTTGGGTTCTCTCAACCCCTGCCGGTTCCCCTACTCCCTTAGGGGGAACTGGCAGAGAGAGAGTTGGGGGAGGTGGGGTTGGTGGAGTAGTGGGTGCTGCTTGAGGGTTCACCGCATAGCCAAAGACCCCGGGCAGGAAGGGGAGGGCCCCCCCACCCTTCTCATCAGGTAGGACCATGTTGAGAGCAACTGGGAGAGCAGCCAAGTTGCTGAAGTTGTAAGGGTAGGCAGCTAGGAGCTGGGGGCCATAGACGAGTGGGTAGGGCTCAGGGTAGAAGGTGACTTTGGCAGTCCCCATCCCCTCCATCCGGTCTGCATCAGAGGCTCCCATTAGCCCCTCATTCCCAGCTCTCCCTCTGCTCCCACCGGGCTCCCGACTGCCTCCTATCAAGGCCAGGGGGAATTCCTGCACAGGTGGGTACACATAGCTGCCCCCACCTGCTACTGGGGGCTCCTCACCCCCAGAGATGACCGGGTCCTGGAGCGAGGCAGTTTCAGGGGCTTCGGCGGCAGCACCGCCACCGCCTGCCTCCCCACTTGATGAGGATACCTGCATCTCTTGGGGGGCTTCCTCCTTGACATCACCAGGCCTGGGGCCAATGCTGCCTTTGGAATAGGCAATGACAGGAGTGGGGGTGCCCCCAGGCCGCTCCACAGCATGCCTCTGCACATGTCTGCTCAGGGCAGCTGCCGCCTTGCACACCTTGGCACAGTGGGGGCAGGGGAATCGGGATGAAGACCTCTTCCCAGTCCTGGAGCTGTGGGAGCCCCCGCTGTGGGCTTCCTGGTGCCTTCTCAGCTTCCTCAGGGTGGCAAAGGTCTGGGCACAGTCTCCACAACGGTGCCTACGCTCACCACGTCCTCGTCCTCCGGGGCCCTCCACCGATGGCGTCTCCTCCCAGGCCCTTCGTTCCAGCTTCTGCCTCCAGCGTGGTGGTCTTCGTCCTCGGGGCAGTCCACTGACCCCACCGACCCCACCGGCAGCAGCTCCAGCCTTGCGCTTGGGCTTGTACGAATAGTAGGGCCTCCAGAGCTGATCTTCCCCTCCAGCCTTCGGTTCCTCCTGGTCCTCCTCCTCCTCTTCCTCTTCCTCGCTCTCCTCTATTTCTTCTCCACTCAGTTCTCCAGGACGCAGGTCAGTTTCGGAGATGCGACGCTTGACAATGGCTTCCTCCCCAATTCGCACGGTGATCTGACACAGCGGAGGTGGGGCCTGAAGCTGAGAGGCGCCGCGGCCTGACCCTGTGGGGGAACCCCCGCTCCCACTCACCCCACCCACGGGTTTGGCTGTGTAAGTCAGAGTTCTCCCAGCCCGCAGATTCCGGCTCTTGGCCTCCTCTGTGGCTGAGGCTGGCCCTGCAGCCGTGGCTGGGCTAGTGGGTGTTGCTGCAGGCTCAGGGGGAGGAGGTGGGTACTCTCGTTTCTTGGGGGGTCTTGGGGGAGTCGTATAAGTGATGACTGAGGCAGCTTGGGACCCTCCTGTGCTGGTTGGCCCACCCCCGGCTCCACCACTGCTACTGCTTCCGTGGACAATGACAGAGGGAGCTGGATGAGCAAAGGTGATGACAGAGGGGGGCGGGCCAGGCTCTGGGGCAGGCGGGAGTAGGGGTGGGGGGCTGGCTGTCATTGCTGCAGGGGCCGGTGTGTGGAGGCTTGGAGAAGGAGGGGCCTCAGGGGCTCCCTGACTGTAGGTCTTGTAGGGCCGCTTGGCTGCCCGCATGGGGAGCAGGCGGTACAGCTTGAGGGTATTAAGCTTGGGCTTGTAGCCTCCATTGGGTGTCTTCTCACTGGCTAGGAGGCCGGGACTAATGCCATGGAAGGCTCGCTGGTGGGTCTTCAGGTTATAATAGGTGACAAAGGTTTCCCAGCAGAAGATGCACTGGTACCTGGGCCAGGACAGCAGGGAACAGGGCAGGAACAGAGCCACTTGAGTTAGAGGCCCTGAAGGCAGGCCTCATCTTGCCCTGTCTTCTGCAGCCCTCAAACTTCTGATTCCCCCAGCACCTGTTCATCCTTCCTGGTGCTAGCCTCTGGAGCAGAACTAGACCAAGCTCACACCCTGCCTCTGGCTAGCTTCAACTCTCAGCCTCAGCTGTTCTGTTGTGAAACGGGAACAGTCACACAGTTGAGCCCTCAAAATGCCTTCCATGGTGCAAAGGACAGAATGAAGATGCTAAGGGAATCTCAGGGGCTGTTCTGTCTGTGTGCTCTAAGTCCCACAGTCCTCTCCTGTGAGGGCACACTTCCCTTTCCATCCTAGCTTTGCCCACAGCCTGGACGGGCAGGCAAGGCGCTGGCCTCAAGCACAGGAAGTAGGGCTGGAAGGAGGCAAGCAGTAGCGGTGGCAGTGAGCTGGGGTCGGGACGAGAGCAGGTCCCAGTGTGGACACGCGGCTTTCTAGACCCCACACTCTGCCCCTCCCTCCCTCGGCCACCAGAGGTCACTCACCTGCGCTCCCCGGTGTGCCACACCTCGTGCTTGGTGCGGTACTCGGCCAGGGCGAACACCTTCTCGCAGTAGCGGCAGGGGTACTTCCTCCGCCATGAGTGTACATTGCTGTGCCGCTTCAGGCTGGACAGGGTCACGTAGGAACGCTCGCAGGCCGCACACACATAGAGCACATGGCCGCCCACCACCTTCACCACATGCTCAGGGCCATCTCTGAAGCCCACTGGTTGTGGCAGCGCGGAGGCATCCACTCCTGCAGGACCCCCAGGGCCAGAGCCCGCAGCTCCCAGGCCTGCAGACCCCCGAGTGTTGGACCCCCGTCGACACTGAACCTCGTGTGTCTGCAGCCTCTTGGGATGGATGAAGCTTTTTCCACATCGAGGGCAGGGAAAGAGCCGCCGGGGTAAGGAGGGCTGGGTCTCAACTTTGTCACCCTCCCACTCGCCATTTGGCCTAGGCCCTGGCCCCAAACTGTCCTCTTCAGACTGCGAGGTGGCCAGGGGAGTTGGAGCAGGAGGTACCCAAGTATCACCTCCTTCCCCCAGGCCCTGTAGGCGGGAGATACCCAGCCGCCGCCCCAGAGCTCCAATCTCTGCCACAGCTGCCCCATCCCCTCCCCCGTCAGGGAGTGCAAGCCGGGCACTGTAGATGAAGTTGAGGACATCGGAAAAGGCAGCTGCCGGGACCCCGGGCAGCTCTAGGACCCGTGGAGGGGATGAAGAGTGAGGAGGGGCTGGAGGGGGAGAGGAGGAGGAAGAGGAGGAAGAGGCAGCTGTGGCGGTTGCAGGGCTGGGAGCTGAGCCACCAGTGATCGGTGGGAGGGGCAGTGGAGATGAAGCTAGCAGGGCTTCTCTGAAGAAGGGACTAGAGGCAGCCAGGACACTGCGGTGAGCAGGGAACTTGGTGTCTCCAGCTATGAGGGTGACATCACAGAAGAGGCCACGGAGCCGCTGCTCATTGAGCTGACGCAGGACAGCAGGGGCATGGGATGGGTCGGTCACCTCTGCAGGGGGTGGCATGGTGCCAGCCTAGACACGGGAAAAAGGCCAGGAAGAGTCTCAGAGACTGGGCAGAGGTCAGGAGCCTCTGAGACCAGGGAGATGAATGGAGGGGTTGGTCAGACTCTGGTGGGAAACTGAATAATTCAGGTCGCAGAAGTCGTGGGTTAACACAAAGCCACCCAGAATCAAACCAGTGTCCAAGACCAGTAAGTCTAACATCTGGACCAGAAGAGACCAGGGATACCTCAGGCCATAGTGAAGGTCGAGTGGTTATGACCTCCAGAATCACAGGAGGCAGTAGAAGGGACACTTCCCACACCCAACCATTTTCCAGTACTGGACAAAATGGCTGCCTTTGCTGGCCTCCTCTTAGCTCTACCCTTCCCTAGCTGTGGTCCTCCCGGCGCCCTCTCACCTGAGAACATAGCCAACATGGAGCAGAGGGGTGGCTCAGCAAGTCCCTTCAGCCTGGCCTTTTCCTTCTGCAGAGAGACAGAAACGTGTCAGGAATCAAAAGGAGACAGGACAGGGTCCTCACGAGGCAAGGACCCAGAACATGGAAAGCTGCAGACACACAGGCTGCTCTGAAAACCCTGGTCCCTCCCAGGAGCCTGTCAGGCCAAATCCAATCAGACCAAGGAGGCCACATAGATTATCGCTGAGCCTTGCTCTGCTGGCCCTGAGAAAGACAGCAACAAGATAATTTGCATATCCCCAATTCACCCCCACATGACACAGCAACACAGTTCAATCCCACAGGTTCAGGACATCCTCACAGATCACTCTAATCCCTTTGGCCCAATCTTGAGACTCAAAGCAACCAAAGATTTGCATTTTTTTTTTATCACAAGTAGGCTTGTTTACATATCAAAATGGAGCTTTTTTCTTTTCTCCTATTGGACTAACCTGATTAAAGTTTCACATTAGGAGTGTGCCTTCTCATACACATCACAGACCCCGAGACCGTAGTGAGGCCTTTCTAGCCCAGGTACCATGTGACAACTGACACACATATGTGCCTACTTGCTCTAGTCTCTAGCAGACACCGGGAAGGTAACCAGACCAAGAGTGGGGAGGCTTTAGGTCTTGTTCCTTACTCTGAGACCATTGCCTTGTGGATTTTGTCTTAAAGCTGGCGATGGGAGCTGGGGGGGCGGGAGCGGCACACACCTTTAGTCCCAGCACTTGGGAGGCAGAGACAGGCAGATCTCTGTGAGTTCGAAGCCAGCCTAGTTTACAGAGTGAGTTCCAGGACAGGCTTCAAAGCTACAGAGACACCCTGTCTCAGAAACCAAACAAACAAAAGCTGGTGGTGGGGTAACCTCGCTGAGAGGTTCATCCAAATGGAACAGTAGGCACAGGTGAGGCTGCTTCACAGCTGTGCTGGGCACTGCGAGTCTTAGGTTCCCATTTTTCCCTGAGGAACTGAGTTCCAGTCAGGCACATCCCTTATCCAAGGTCACATGGCTAGTAACAAGAGTGGAGACTTCTTGGGTTCTTTTCATTCACCGTCAATGCAGTCAGGAAGTTCTACCCCTTCTACATGCCATGGGTCCCACGTATCCTCATTAGTGTCCCACATCAGAAGAAGCTCCTCATCCAATTCTCATTACCCACAAAATGTTCCTTTCTCGTTGATTGGCCATGTTACCTAGACTAAAGGCAGCACCTCACATCATGTTCCCTAAGAGAAGGCTCAGACGCCTGTCCCGGGCAAAAAGGAAACCAGGACAGCGGTGCAAAGTTGTGACACCGTGCCAGGCACAGAACAAGCGCCCAAGCATCGCCCCATTTGTTGCGTTGTGGATGCGTCGAGTGTTCTGGGGACAGAGTCCCGCCTCTTGTCAGCAGTCATTGTCCCTTACTCCTGTCTATGAAGGGCTCAGCACAGTATCTGATTACTTCATTTTTCCTCACCCTTTGCTGTGGGCCTCTCCACTTTAAGATGATAGGGTCTCAGACATTACAGTAGCTTGCTCAAGGCAGTTAGTAGCTAGGCTGGGATCTGACCATATAAAGTTTTGCTTTAAAACCTCTAGTGACTTCAGTACACCATGATAAAGGATGTTAACAGCCCTTGGAACACTGCTAGCCTACCTAGAATTTTTTTTTTTTTGGTTTTTTGAGACAGGGTTTCTCTGTGGCTTTGGAGGCTGTCCTGGACTCACTTGGTAGTCCAGGCTGGTCCCGAACTCACAGAGATCCGCCTGCCTCTGCCTCCCGAGTGCTGGGATTAAAGGTGTGTGCCACCAACGCCCGGCACCTAGAATTTTTTGAGAAAATTAGGTGGCTCCTTCTTCCAGAAAGCCACGTAAAGATGAGCAAAGTCACTTTGATTCCAGTCCCCATTCACCCCAAGGCCAGCCTGCCCACCTGCACCACATATTACACGATGGGTGACTGCAGATATGCACCTGTGTGTGGACTGCCATGGTATGGGACAAAGCCTATTGGTGCTTCTTAGAACTGTACAGACCCAAAACTGGACTGCTCCCTAGTGGTCACCCAGAATCACTGTAATTACAAGCTTTGGAGCTGTGCAAAATATGTTATGCACACCATCTCATTTTTTTGTTTTGTTTTTCCAGACAGGGTTTCTCTGTATTGTTTTGGAGGCTGTCCTGGAACTCACTCTTGTAGACCAGGCTGGCCTCGAACTCACAGAGATCCGCCTGCCTCTGCCTCCCGAGTGCTGGGATTAAAGGCGTGCGCCACCAACGCCCGGCCCCATCTCATTTTTTTAATTTACTATGTATACAATATTCTGCCTCCACGTAATCCTCCATGCCAGAAGGCGGCACCAAATCTCATTATAGGTGGTTGCTGGGAATTGAACTCAGGACCTCTGGAAGATCAGAGATCAGTCAGTGCTCTTAACCTCTGAGCCATCTCTCCATCCCACACCATCTCATTTTAACACTCAAAATAACCACCGTGAGCCGGGCGGTGGTGGCGCACGCCTTTAATCCCAGCACTCAGGAGGCAGAGACAGGCGGATCTCTGTGAGTTTGAGGCCAGGCTGGACCGACAGCCTCCAAAACAATACAGAGAAACCCTGTCTCATAAAACCAAAAAACAAAACAAAAAAAACAAAAAAAAAAACAAAAAACAAAAAAACACCGTGAAGAGGTTAAACACTGCAAACTCATCTTCAGGTCAAGGGAATGTAATGATGTGATCTGTTTCTGGCTTTGCTGTTTAGATCACAGGAGATGAAGACACTAGCTACTTGATCCGGGAAAAATTACTTAACCTGTTTCTCAGTTTCCTTGTTTGTTTGGAGAGGGTGAGAAATAGTTCCCGCTGTGTAGGGTGGTGGTAGAGATAAAATGAGCTAATAACTAGTAGATTCAGCCAACCAGGGAGTAATAGTATTCCAAAATGCTGCTCCTCTACTGAGCACACAGACCTTATTCTCTTGTGGTTAGGCCCACACAACGCAATAGGACAGCTATCTAAACAGGTGAGGCAGGACACGCTTGTAAGCCCAGCATTGAGAAGGAGAAGCAAAAGGATCGCAGCAAGTTCAATGCCAGCCTGATCAACAATACCAAGTATCAGGTCAGCAGAGCCACATCAGGGAACCATGAATCCAAGCAAAAAGTAAAATAAAACTCCCAAAACTATTTGTATGGAGTTTATGTGATATTAAACATTTTAAGCAGAGATAACAGCAACTACTACACCATTTTGTTTATTTTGAGACAGGGTTTTATATAGTTCAGACCTTAAACTGATCAAAGATGGTCTTGAACCCCTTCCTGATCCTATTGCTTCTACCTCCCCAGTGCTGGGATTATAGAAATACAACATTTTATATTTTATATAAGCAACTTGAACACCTAAGAGTTCCAATACGAAATCTGGAACCAATCTCTCATGTTTACCATGGGATGACTGTGCCTAGGACCTTAGCCCTGGAAAACCGTGAGTGATGAAGAAAAAGGTCAGGTGTTGGTGGCGCACACCTTTAATCCCAGCACTCGGGAGGCAGAGGCAGGCGGATCTCTGTGAGTTCAAGGCCAGCCTGGTCTACAGAGTGAGTTCCAAGGCAGCCTTCAAAGCTACAAGGAAACCCTGTCTCTTTTTTTTTTTTTTTTCTTTTTTAGTTTTACAAGACAGGGTTTCCCCGTGGCTTTGGAGACTGTCCTGGAACTCTCTCTGTAGACCAGGCTGGCCTCGAACTCGCGGAGATCCACCTGCCTCTGCCTCCCGGGAGCTGGGATTAAAGGCGTGCGCCACCGACGCCCAGCGAAACCCTGTCTCAAACAAACAAACAACAACAAAAGTAATGAAGAAAAAAAGGCAGAATTTGGACTTCAACATAAATTTGGAGGGCTGGAGAGATGGCTCAGCAGTTAAGAGCACTGCCTACTCTTCCAGAGGACCTAGGTTCAATTTCCAGCACCCACATGACAGCTCACAGGGGAGGCAGGGGAGCCCCATGCCTCCTTCTGACCTCCACGGGCAGCAGGCTGGTACGTGGTATGACCTGCAGCTAAAGTACCCATACACATTAAGTAAATAAACGAACATAATTTTGAAAGGATGCATTTGGTGGTTCTGTGATTTTAAAGTTATTTGTTTATCCTCCCTCTCCCTCTCCCTCTCTGTGTGATACTGGGGATTGGACCCAAGACCTCAAGCATGCTAGCAAAGCACTCTGTCACTGGCCTACATTTCTGTACTCTTTTTTTTTTTTTTTCAAGACAGGGTTTCTCTGTATTGTTTTGGAGGCTGTCCTGGAACTCGCTCTGCAGACCAGGCTGACCTCGAACTCACAGAGATCCGCCTGCCTCTGCCTCCCGAGTGCTGGGATTAAAGGCGAGCGCCACCACCGCCCTGCTTATTTCTGTACTCTTAGCTGACTGAACAGCCTCAGAGGTGCCACCGAGCACATACACCAGGATGCTTCACCATCTGCTGCTCTCACCATCTGGATTGTTCTTTTCTCCAGATCCCCTCATAGCTCATTGTTCTGCGTCCTTTAAGCTCTGACTCAAGTCATCTGGCTTGGGGGCCTTCCCTGGCCCCTTCCCACTTTCCAAAATTTCACATCTCCCAGTCCTACTGCATTTCCCCTGTGTCACTTAGTAAAACACACGGCTCATTTATCTCTAGAATGTGGGCTCCACGGAGCACAGGAGTGGGAATTTTTGACTACGCTGCTTTCTCAAGTATCTTGTTCTTAGAATGGTGCTTGGTGCACAATGGATGTTAAAAAAAAAATCTAGCCGGGCGTTGGTGGCGCACGCCTTTAATCCCAGCACTCGGGAGGCAGAGGCAGGCGGATCTCTGTGAGTTCGAGGTCAGCCTGGTCTGCAGAGCGAGTTCCAGGACAGCCTCCAAAGCCACAGAGAAACCCTGTCTTGAAAAAAAAAAAACCAAAAAAAAAAAAAAAAAAAAAGAAATCTAGAGGCTGAAGCACAACGACATCTCCCTAGATTGGCCTTGGGTCACACTCCAATCCAGAAGAATGATGGGAGACGACAGAATGGCAGGATTTTGGTAAGTGAAAGAATTTGTATTGGTGGCACAAGCCTTTAATCTCAGCACCCTGGAGGTTGGGTCCAGAAGATCATGGATTTGAAGTTAGTTTGGGCTATATAATGGAACTTTTCTAAAACCAACAAAATTGTTCTTCCTGGAGTCTCTTCTCTCAAAAAAGAAGCCATCCTTGGAGCTGAGGATGAAGACCATACCTTGATGTTTGAGACACAGTTCGCCTGATACATTCCTAGAGGCTTTATATACATTGTCTCATTTAATTATATCCTCAAAGCCACCCACAATAGGCACAGTAGGTATTTATATTCTCCTAATTTTTCAGAAAAGGAAACTGAGAATCAGAGAGGATAAGGCTTGTTGAAGGTCACATAGATTGTAAGTAACAGCCAAAATTTGAATCCAGGCTTGGATGAACCCCAGAGGCTGAATCTTTCCCTCTACCATACCGCTGGATCCTGCCCTGAAGAGCCTATAGCAGGCCAGCTGGTTACATAAATCACCACACAAACTCTCACGTGCTAAGTGTTAACTGTGTCACATCTGACTCCACCCTTCCCCTTGCTCCCAAATCCAGCAGTCTCCAAGTCCGGCTGAAACTGCATGGAAATGGCTTGCAAGCCTTCTGAAACCCCTCTGGCTACCAGTCTAGTTCAAGTCCTTGTTAACACTCACATGGGTCAAGGCAATGGACTACATGCTATCTACTTGCCCATAGGTTTATCTCTTCCACCCTGCTTTCTTCCAGCGAGAGTCCTTAGCACTAACTGCAGTTTAGTGTAACTCCTGGGCTGAAAATGGTTCTTGGAAGCTGGGTCTGGTAGCTCATGCCTGTAATCCCAGCACTCAGAAGGACTGCAGAGAGTTTAAGGCCACCCTGGGATACATATTGAGACTCTGTCTCAAAAACACAAAAGTGTCAGGTGGTGGTGCACACCTTTAATCCCAGCACTTGGGGTGGGAGAGGAGAAGGGGGGAAGGGGGAGCAGAGGCAGGCTGATCTCTGTGAGTTGGAGGCCAGTCTGGTCTTCAAAGAAAGTTCCAGGACAGTATCCAAACCTACAGAGAAACCCAGTCTTGAAAAACCAAAAACCAAAACAAACAAAAACAAAAACCCCACAAAAGCTAGGGCAAGATAGCTCAAAGGGTATAGACAATGCCCCCACAAGCCTGGAAACTGAACCCCAGGATCCACATGGTAGAAAAACCAAAAACCAAAACAAACAAAAACAAAAACCCCACAAAAGCTAGGGCAAGATAGCTCAAAGGGTATAGACAATGCCCCACAAGCCTGGAAACTGAACCCCAGGATCCACATGGTAGAAGGGGAGAACCAGCTCTTGCAAGCTGTCCTCTGACCTCTGTCTCAAAAACACAAAAGTGTCAGGTGGTGGTGCACACCTTTAACCCCAGCACTTGGGGTGGGAGGGGATTATGTACCCTGTGGCATATGCAAACACAAACAAATAAATGTAATGGAAAAAATCAGGGCTGCGGAGACAGTTTCTGAGTAATAGCACTTGAGTTCAAATTCCTAGTGCCCACATAAGAAGCTGCGGCACGGCTCTGTACCTATGGTCCCAGCACTGGAGGGCAAAGTCAGATTGAGGGCTCACTGGCTGGCCAGCCTAGCCAAAATGGCAAATTCTGAGTCAATATCAGACCCTTTCTCAAGCCAATGAGGCAGACAGCAATAGAGGAAAACAATCAGTGTTTTGCCTTGGCCTCTATATGTGCACTGGATACTCACTGCCAACACATTCACATGCATGAAATACAGGCACTCACACACACACGTACACGTACACATGTACACACACACACACACACACACACTTAATGCTCTTTCCTTGACCTCTTTCCAACATCCCTCTGAAATGTTAAGACCAAACTAAAAATGCATCTCGTCCTTTGCCCCTTATGTCTCACGAAACAAAGACAATCTTCCGTCTGATTAATCAGTATTCAGTGCCCCACGGCCAGCAAAAGACAAAGCCACAGGTACTCGGGGTCTCACACCCTGGGCTAGGACTCTTGAGAGCGCTGTCTATGAATATGGGTCTTCAAAAATATGGTGGAAGGCTGGAGAGATGTCTCTGCAGTTAAGGACACTTGTTCAGTTCCCAGCATCCATACAGTGATTCACAACCATGCATAACTCCAGCTGCAGAAGATCCAACACCATCCTCTGACCTCCTAAGGCACCACACACACACACACACACACACACACACACGGTACACAGACATACATAAGCAAAATATTCACACACATAAAATAAATAAACCTTTTAAAAATGTAAAAATGTATTGGTAACCCAGGCATGATGCCTCAAATCTGTAATCTCAGTATTCAGGAAGTTGAGGCAAGAAGGTTGCCAAAAATTAGAGGCTAGTCTTGGCTACAGAGTGACCCTGTCTCAAAAAAAAAAAAAAAGTGAAATGTTCTATGGAAACTGTGGGTACCTGTTGGCATGTGCAAGCTGAACGGCAGAGAAAGCACAGGAGCTAAGAGACAAACTCTGGAGCCTCACTCTCTCTCACCACCCAAGTGACTGGGGCAAAGGACTTAACTTCCCTGGGTTTCAGTGAGGGATTCAGGGCGTCAGAGTGAGGAGCGGATGAGTGGCGATGCATAAAACCCTGGGAACAGCGCCTGTACAGTTAGTGCAAACCAACTGCTCATGGCCACTGTTACTAGTGACACTGAGAGCAGGACAGTCTCGGCAGCAGCAGGGCTGATGGGGGCTGCCACGGTCTCTAATCTGTTGCTGTGTATCAGGTCTATTTTCATATGCTGCTGGAAGATCTGTAGGGCAGCTCGCTGGTCCTATCTTATAGATGTGGAATAGGACACTCAGAATGTCCCAATGAGGACAATGCAGAGGTACCAGAACACTTTGGCTCCATTGGAGGGCTCCTGTCTTGCACCTGTCTTCATGGGCAGCCAGCCCCATCACCCATTACAGAGGACATGGCCATAAAGCCCTCACACTCCCCTATTGTACACACAGGCTAGATGCAGTGCAGTGTTGTGAGCATACATGCATATCTCCCACCTGCACAGAAGGGCCCAGGCCCCAGAGGTGAGGGAAACCTGTTCCAAAGAATCTGCTTAGTGAGCAAATTCTGTCCAAAGCCCTTCCACTGTAGGCCCCAGTGCGTCAGAGATGCCGGAAAGCGGGGCAGAGAAAGGGAGAGGGCAAAGCAGCAGCAGCAGACTAAAAACTTCACGATCCTTTTTCCATTTTAGTGACAAAAGTCACACCCAGCCTTTACATAAACACGGCCAAGGAGCCACTCTGTCTAAACTCACTTCCCTTGCAGGCGCCAGGACTTTCCTCTCTATGGCCCTGACATGCTGGTTGAGGGGCAGACCCTGCAAAAGAAGAACTGTGCCACCCAACAACACCCATGCCTGCCGTGCTTGCTCTGGCTAATATTTGTCTCCCGACCTCCCCATAACATCTCCGGGGAAGCCCTCCACCCGACACGCAAGCACACAGAAGGTAGCCATGTATACAAGCTTTCCACTGGTCTCCCGGGTCTGAGGCCCACATTGCCCTTGTCACGCCACCTCCTCCCAAGTGTTTTCTGACCAGCTCGACTCCCAGCCCAACAGCCCAGACAGGCTCCCACAAACAACGTCACAAAAGAATCCCGTGGAGAATGTTGCAAACAGCCTTCCTCTTGCTTGGCCGCCCATGATCCCAGAAACACATCTTACATGTCCCACCCGCCAGCCCCTCACACCCGCGCCAGCTGACCCACAAGTTTCAGTTTCTCATGCTCCTGCTGAGCAATAGAGCTGAGCTCCAGACAGGCAGCCCCCATGAAACTTGCCCATCACAAACACACAAATCCATCTACCCTATGTCCTCTACACAACTGGACCACACCTCATTTAGACTACAGAAATAGAACTCAGGCCTTCTGATTCAAAGGTCCACAACTGACTCTTCAAATGGATACATTCACCCTGCATTCTGGTGACCGCCATAACACACACACACACACACACAAACACACACACACACACACACACACCATGCCAACTATACGGAAAACAAACATTCATATTCATGTGTGCAACACAAGACATACCTACAAGAAAACACATGCTGGCAAAACTACACACACAACGTCAGACACCACACTCAAGGTATCTGTCCCCTAAAGCCACAGGGCCGTATCTTGTAATTCTGTACCAGAGAGTACCCCTCCTGGCTTTCTATCTCTATGTATCAGGGAGGACCCTAGCAGACCCCCCCCCCCGCCCCCGGTGTCAGACTAGCAAACAGTGGTGCCCAGGAGCAGTTTACCTTGCCCCACAGCACCGCAAGTGGCACAATCTCCAAGACTCACAGCAACAACCCTGCCCCGACGGCGCGTCGGTTCCGGGCCCCTGCTCGCACTGCGCACCCTGCACACCCCAACTCTGGGGCGCCCAGAGGGCCACCCCTCCCCCTCTCTGCCTGGCTCCTACGCCATCGCTCTCCCAGCAGCTTGCAGCGCTTGCCCGGGATCACACCCGCCCCACCCTACCCCCAATCTGCCCCACAGAGGGAGGGGGACATTGGGCTGCAGAATTTAACCCTTCATAGGTGGAGTGATTGCGACCCTCTCCACGACCCCAGGAGACCGAGTCCCCCATCCGTGGCTCGCTGGACGCCATACCAGGGCGCCCTTAAGTCGCTCCCCAGCGCCGTGCGCGCCCGGGGGCGGGGCCTATTCCAGCCCCCAGCCCTTGCGCCCCTAAATCAACCTGGAAGAGGAGCGGTCGCGAGGCGCGGCCCGGGGCCCCCGCGGCGCCGGGCAGCGGAGAGAGGGGGCCAAGGTAGTTAGCTCCCGTCTGCCCTAACCCTGCCCGGTTCGCCCCGGGGCCAACCTGACTGCGATGGCGCGGCGTCCGCCAGGCCGGGCTCATCACCGTGGCCGCCCCCGGCCACTTGGGTTTCGCCCTCCTCCAGCTCCGGCTCCAGCTCCTGCCCCGGCCCCCCCAGCGCCCGGCCCCGGCCCAGCCCCGCCGCCGCCGCCGCCGCCACTGACATCATCGGCTCCCCCCCCCCGCCCCGGTCCTCCCCCCCACCCCCGGAAACAGTCCCCCCCCACAGCGCCGCTGCTGCTGCCGAGAGGAAGCCAGCGCAACAGAGCCGACACCGACACTGGGCTCTGGCGTCCGATGGCCTTGGCCCGGTGGATCCCAAACAGAGAAACGAAGGACGAACGACGCAGGGTGGACACCTTTCGGGGCGGTGGCCGGGCTGTACTCCCTGGGAAAGGACTCACCCCCATGCCTGCCCTTCCCTCTGCACACTCTTCACTAAGGGGTGCACATCGCCTAGAGCATGCTGTGTGTGCACGTTTGCTCACCACAGACACACACACACCATACACAGAATATTCTCCGGGGCCGCAAACAGAAAACATGGTAGACTCAAAATAGGACCCAGTGGAACCTATAGACCCAGAGTCAGCATCCTTACAGGGCAACAGCCCTTGGGGCAGCCCCTTTCGGGAATGCCTATGGAGTTTCACCAGACCCACAGGCGAGGAAGGCCCCAACCTGGCAGAATGGGGCCTTACATGAATGGTCACTAGTGCAGTTAAACACAAAGCTTGGAATTGGTCTTAACCAGTAGAAATGCCCATTTCTGTGTCCTTGCATATAAACAGGCCTCGGTGTGGGCCCCCTGCATTAGCTGCACACCAGAAGCATAAGAAATGTAGCGTACATAAGAAACATATTCCTGAATTGTGAATGGAACAATCCTACAGACTCCTTCCTGGTGTTGAAAAGTTTAAAACCCTGGAGAGGTCTGGCATGATGCTCCTGGAGAGGCAGAGGCAGAGACAGAGACAGATGGAGGCCTGTGAGTTGGAGGCCAACCTGGTCTAAGCAGTCTAAGCAGCAAGCTCCAGGTCAGCCAGGGCTACACAGTGAGACCCTTGTCTCAAAAATACAAAACAAAACAAACCCAACAAGAACCACATCAGGTGACAGAGGAGCAAACTCTCAAAACTCTCCCTGTGGAGCATGGTGGGCCAAGCCTACAGTACAGGTACTAGGGCAGCAGAGGCAGGAGGATCACTGCAAATTCAAGGCCTCCTGGCACACTTCTGGGCTCCTAGGAAGTGCCAAATCACTCAGACCTACACCAGCTATACAGCAACCCTTTTCCTAAACAACAGCAGCAACAGAACAGACAAATCCACTTCCAACACTCCTAAAAACATTTGTGAAGCTAAACAGGGTGGCCCATGCCTGTAATCACAAGCACTCTAGGAGATAGCAGCATGAAGACTGAGATTTCAAGGCAGACTCCACAGAGTACATAGTGGGTTTGAGACCAGCTTGGGCAAGACCTCATATCAGGGAAACAAGAAATGAAGGCTAGGGAAGTTGCTCAGTGGTTAAGAGAGGATATTGCTTTTGCAGATGACCCAAGAGTTCAGTTTCTGACATCCAAGTCAGGCCATTCACAATCACCTTTAACTCCAGCTGCAGGGGATAGGGTGTCTCTGGTTTCTGCAGGCACCTGTATTCATGCACATAGTGCTACACTGATGCACCCACACACACACAGTTAAAAATAAATCTTGGGACTGGAGAAATTGTTCAGATTGTGCATTCACACGTACACACCCACACACCTTCTCTTTTCCTCCCTTCTTTTCTCTTTCTTCTTCTTTTAAGGTAGGGTCTCACTGTGTAGCCCTGGCTGGCCTGGAATTTACTATGTGGATTCAGTTGGCCTGAAACTCACAGAGATCCTCTTCTGCTTCACAGATGCTAGAATTTAATGTGTGGGCCATCACACCTGCCCACACACTAAATTAAAAAAACAAAACAACAACAACAACAAAAAGCCAGGCTATAAAGATGGTTCAGTGGTTAAGAGCACTGGCTGCTTGTCCAGGTCTAACTCTCAGAACTCACATGGCAGTTTACACACATCTGTGATTCATTTAAAGGGATCTGACACCTTCTTCTGACCTCCAAGGACACCACCCACACAAGAGTGGTACACAGACATACATGCAGGCAAAACACCATGGCGGTTTACACACATCTGTAATTCATTTCAGGGGATCTGACAAGGCACTCAAGAGTGGTACATATACATACATGCAAGCAAAACACCCATGCACAAAACATAAAGGTGGGGAGATAGCTTGCTTGGTAAAGTGCTGTCAAACAAACAAAAATGAAGACTTGGGCTGGAGGCCCAGGGCTCAAGTAAAAAAGCTGGAGGAGCCTGTTGTTGGTGGCGCACACCTTTAATCCCAGCACTTGGGAAGCAGAGGCAGGTAGATCTCAGTGAGTTCGAAGCTGGCCTGGTCTACAAGTGAGTTCCAGGACAGTTACACAGAGAAACCCTGTCTTGAAAGACCAATAAATAAATAATAAATAAATAAGAACCAAACAAACAAAAAGCTGGGAAGATTGCTCAGAATTAGATCCTTAAGCCCCATATAAAACCAGACCTAGTGGAAGGCAGAGATAGCAGAATCCCCAGGAGCTCTCAGGCCAGTTACTCTGACATTTGCAGAAGCTCACAGCAAAAGACTCAGTGTCAGACTGAGTGGAAGGGAAGGATGGACACCTGAGCTGTTTTCACACCTTCACATGCTCCCTGTGCTACAAGTGTGCCCACACTCACATGTATGGCATATGCTCCCTGTGCTACAAGTGTGCCCACACTCACATGTATGGCATATGCTCCCTGTGCTACACGTGTGCACACACTCACATGTATGGCATACACACATACACCCAGAAAGGGGGGCTGAGAGAGAGCGAGGCCAAGCAGGAGCATTGCATGCTTGTAATCACAGAGTGGGGACATGGAGGCATGTGGACCCCTGGGGTTCTCTGTCCAGCCAGTCTAATCTACTAGGCGAGTTTTGGCCAATGAAGACCCTGGTTTTTCTGTTTGTTTTTGTTTTTCGAGACAGGGTTTCTCTGTGTAACTTTGTAGACCAGTCTGGCCTCAGACTCACAGAGATCTGCCTGCCTCTGCCTCTAGAGTGCTGTGGTTAAAGGCATGAGTCACCACTGCCTGACAAAGACCCTGTTTTAAACAAAATTCTAAAGAGTCTAAAGAAAAATACCTAATCTTACCCTCTGGCTTTCATATTTGTATGGATATGAATACACACATATACAGAAACCAAAAGCCTTTATAAAATGAGGCAAAATATAAACCAAAAGCAATTTTGTTATATATATATAGAGATAGATAGATAGATAGATAGATAGATAGACAGAGAGAGAGAGAGAGAGAGAGAGAGAGAGAGAGAGAGGGAGGGAGGGAGGAAGAAAGGGAGAGAGAAAATGAGAATGAACTTGGAGTCATAGCAACAAAGATAGAAACAAGCCTGGAATGGTGGGATACACCTACAGTCAGCCTGGACAGCGTAGTGAATTCCAGAAAAGCCTTGCCGATAAACAGAGCCTGTCTCTTTCCCCCTCACCCTCAAAACTCACTCCAAACAAAAACAACAAAACTGGCCCCCAAAATAAACAACAACAACAAAACAGAGTTGGAATTCATGAGAAAATAGTCCCTCCCCCCTCAGGAAGGTTCCAGGGGAGAACCTTACCCCCACTCCAACCAAGTCACAATGGCTGGAGCTCTGAAGGGGATCAGGCAAGGGGACCCAGGAGGAGAGGAGGAAGTCCAAGAAGAGATGGTGAGTCCTGGGGCAAAGGAGAATAGAGGGGACACCATTCAGCGTCTGAATATTCCCCTTTCCCTCCTCCTGTAAACTTCCCAGTGGTCCTGGAGAGACAACTGAAATTCATAATGATGTACCCAGAAGTCCCTGGAGCCTGTGACATCATATGGATACATAGCATTTGAAGCTAACTCCCTTTCCTTAAATGGACAGAGTATCCCTGGGTCCTCTTTCTTCCTCCCAGGAACATGGTGCTCCCAGAGAGACTACTCACTCCCTGTTTCCTGCTTTAGGTACTCAAGACCCACACTGTACCACTATATCCATCTTCAGGCCCTTTCTAGCTCCTATGAGTTCCTCTACTATCCTGAAGGGTCCAAGACCCCAGCCTGGCACCACCCTACCCCACATAGCCCAGGCTGTGGCTGCCCTCATGTCCAAGCTCCTTTCTTTCTAACAGGATGCCAGTCATCGCTATTCCAACTTACCTGACTTCACCCAGCCATCGCCACCCTCCACTCCAGCCAGCCTCCCCTCGAACCATCACCATCGCTGCGGGCCCTCCGATGCCACCAAGGGCCTGTTTGTGGCCCTGCTAGGTGGAGGCCTGTCTGCTGGCTTCGTGGGCCCATTCTCCCGTATGGCGTACCAGACCTCCCACCTGCCTTCGCTGGAGCTGCTTATCTTTCGATGCCTCTTCCACCTCCCCATTGCCTTGCTGCTGAAATTCCGTGGTGATCCGCTGCTGGGGCCTCCTGATGTCCGGGTTCGGGCCTTCCTTCACGCCATGCTCAACGTCCTCAGCATTGGGTGT